GGGTTTTGAGCATAACTTTGCTGGCATGTGAAATGAGTGCAATGGTGCGGTAGTTTGAACATTCTTTGGCATTGCCCTTCTTTGGGATTGGAATGTAAACTGACCTTTTCCAATCCTTTGGCCACTGTTGAGTTTTTCAAGTTTGCTGGCATATTGAGTGTAGCACTTTTACTGCAACATCTTTTAAGATTTTGAATAGCTCAGCTGGAATATTGTCACCTCCACTAGCTTTGTTGTTGCTCAGACTTCCTAAGGCCCATTTGATTTCACATTCCAGCATGTCTGGCTCAAGGTCAGTGACCACCCCATCGTGGTTATCAGAGACGTTAAGCTCTTTCTTGTATAGTTCTTCTGTGTAATCTTGCCATCTTTTCTTAATCTCTTCTGCCTCTGTTAGGTCCCTGGCATTTTGGTCCTTTATCATGCCCATCTTTGCATGAAACGTTCCCTTCATATCTCCAATTTTCTTGAAGAGATCTCTGGTCCTCCCTTTTCTATCTATTGTTTTCTTCTATTTCTTTGCACTGTTCATTTAAGAAGGCATTCTTATCTCTTCTAGCTATTCTCTGGAATTCTGCATTCAATTGGGTGTATCTTTCCTTTTCTCCCTTGCCTTTTGCTTCCCTTCTTTCCTCAGCTATTTGTAAAGCTTCCTCAGACAGCCATTTTGCTTTCTTGCATTTCTTTTTCTTTGGGATGGTTTTAGTTGTTACCTCTTGTACAATGTTGCGAACCTCCGTCCATAGCTCTTCAGGCACTCTGTCTATCAGATCTAATTCCTTAAATCTATTTGTCAGCTCTACTTTATATTCCTCAGGAGAGCCAGTGTGGCGTAGTGGTTAAGAGCATGGGACTGGAACTCAGATGATCTGGGTTCTAGTCCCCGCTCAGCCATGGAGCCAACTGGGTGACTTTGAGCCAGTCACAGACTCTCAGCCCAACCTACCTCACAGGGTTGTTGTTGTGGGGATAAGTTGGAGGAGGAGAATGATGTAAGCTGCCTTGAGCCCTTTGTAGGAAAAAGGCAGGATATAAATTGAAAAATAAATAAATAAATAAATAAAATATGCTTTAGGTCATACCTGAGTGGCCTAGTGCTTTTCCTACTTTCTTCAATTTAAACCTAAATTTTTCAACAAGAAGCTCATGATCTGAGCCACTGTCAGCTATTAATAACTTTAAAAAACCTTGGTAAGATCTCCCAACTTAGCACTCATTTAACAAGGTTTTTTAAAATATATTTAATCAAAATGCATGTTTACTTTTTACTTTACCACTTTTTAAATCCATATTTCTTATGTGTAGCCATTTGTAGCCTAACCAGTTTTCAAAATTAAGATTGGATTTGCAAGAGTGACTCTAAATTGCTTCTGTGGCTTTCCGAGAACTATCTTCCCTGAATTATTTTTCTCCCTACCTCCATCATACTTCCATCATCCCTCAGAAGAGTGGAGCGTCTTATGCCAAATACTGTACTGTTCTGTATAGCAGCAGTGAGGAGAACAGAGACTGGTATTTGTTTTGTGCTACTACTGTTACCTGTACATGTCATGTTCTCATCTGTTTTCCCAGAAAGTATATACTGAAAGACATCTGCTCCTCTTATACAAGTGCCCTTTTCCTGGGCCAAGGATGTAACGATGACTCAAAGCAATTATGTGCCAACATTGTTGTTTGCAATTGAGATGAAGAGAGTGGGCCTTTATTGACTTGGAGAACAAAAGAACAAGAGCTGCTTCTTCTTTCATGTGATTTCCGCCCACCCTTTTTAAATATGATGGATAACTGCTTCATAGACTAGAAGGACTTAGGAAAACGTTTCCCATGATTATTAAGTTCTAGCCAGCAGAAGCATTGTGAAATGCTAGTTTTTTTCCAGTGCCTTTGGAGTGTTGTGATATAGAATCATTTACATGTACCAAAAAGAAAAAAAAACCTTTAGATTCCAGTTTATGTTACTTGGTATGCCTTATACTTTCAAAATGCACAGTGAATGTGTACAGCTTCTTTCAGTGGCCCTCCTATAATATGTAGCACCAAATATTCTTTCTGTAAATAGTCCTACAGAAACTTACAAACTTTAGAAAATTACAATCGAACCTCAACTTTCATGGGTTTAACTTTCACACCTTTAATTATTTGTGACTTTGCCATCAATAATTAAAAGATTTTTATTTTATTTTATTTTATTTTATTTTATTTTATTTTATTTTATTTTATTTTGAGGAAGGAGGAGTTTTGTGGTCTACTGCCTACTGCTCTACAGACTGCCATATACAAAACACTCCCCTTCCTGGCTGCCACTGTGGCTGACCCAGAATGGTGTCCTCCCCACCCCGCCAGTGAGGACAAGGCAGACCTAGGACTGGGTGTACTGCTGTGATGCAGGATGAACGCTGCTGGAGTGTCCTGGGCTCCAGTGCATCAGGTCTTATTTTAAGCTCAAGGTTATTCAGGTCGTGAAAGAGCTAATTGTAATGCACCTACCAACACACATATGGTCAACAGTATTAAGAGTTAAGGTTTGGGGAGGCCAAGAGACGTTCACAGTTTATCCACTTTTGTGGGGATCCTGCTCCCCAAGTTTTTTTTTTTTTCAGGATTAATACCAAAGCATATAACAAAACCTGTGAGCTATACTGTTGTTCTTTATCACTGTCATAGTGTAGTTAAATAACATTAGCTTAGATCAGGGGTCCTCAAACTTTTTCTACTGGGGGCCAGTTGAAAGGCAGTGGCTGCACGCGCAGGCTGGTGAGGAGGAGGCGCTGCCAGGGGCACACGAGGTGGTGTTGGGCGCACGCGGTAGCGGTGGCTTACTCGATCAGAGATTTCCGAGCGAGTCCAAAAACATTTCCGAGTGAGCAAGCCACCGCCTCCAGCCCGCACGCATTTGCATTTCATTTTATTGCTATCAGTAGAAAATACCATCTTTTAGAGTGTTAACTTATAGAACAGGTGACACACAGTAGGTCAGTAAGACTAGAGACAAACCATATGTTAAAAATACCATGTGAACCCACATGACTGTACAATTTCGGGTTGCAGATGGGGAAGCTTCGTAACAGAATGCTGTACTGCATAACAATAACAAAAAAATCTATATTTAGAAGCTTAGCATGTTGATAAAAAGGATTCTAACTTGGTCCTCCCAACCATATTTTAGTTTGCTGCTTCTGTTTTATTTTGCTTCGTTTTTGTTTCATTATCAGAGTGCACGTACAATGTTCTTCATACATTTTGAAACAGTGTATTTCCTGAGAGTAGCCCTGAATCAAGGCATCTCTGTCTAGAGTACATCTGTTGGGAACAAAGTAGCTTTTAGTGGTATTTCCCCTTGTACCATTCCCCTTGTACCATTCCCCTTGTATTTGTACCACTTGACTTAACTTAGCACCCTTTCCAGTTCTCTATAAATTTCCCCTTCCTGTTGTGAGACTGTATTTAACAAATGCATAATACACATTCCTCACAAAATGGCTCCATCAGTCTTTCTTGTCCCCACAAGTCCCTGCTTCTCTTTGTCTGTGCACCTTGAATAGCTATTTCATGCCTCAGTCAGTTCATCATATAATGGAGGCTTCAGTTTGCAGAAACAGATTGGCACAGAGCCTTACCTGTTTACCCATGTTCCCGTCTTCGAATATATTCATTTAAGAGTTTTTCTGTGTGGGTCAAGAAATGTATAGATTCTGTGTAATGCAGATTGTTGGAGAGTTCAAATGGAATTGTCTACCTCAGTGAGTTAGAGACATGCATTAAATTAACTTACTGTACTGAGGAAGCCAAATCTGGGCATAATAAATACTACTGTAATCAAATTAGGAACCTGACTTCTTAACACAGAACACATATTTCAATGTATTTGCCTATCCATCGAGCTGTGACATCAGTCTTCATTGCATAGTAGCAGGTACCCTTTCCTCAAACCATTGCAAACTTGTCAGTTCCACACTAGAGCCATAACTAGAATTTATCAGCAAATTTGTTCTATTCTAGTTGAACCTAAAAAGAATCCTAAGTTTGTGTCACAATGCAATAGGTATCAAAGTAGCACAGCAAAACTAGAAACCTAAATGTTACAGAGACTAAAGTCTTTTTGCTACCATGTTTTCTGTTTGTTTTTTATATAGTGTATGTGAGATGTATATGTGTAATATTGTTATTTGCCATCAAATCGTCTCTGACTTATTGCATGCTCATGAATGAGAGCTCATCAGAAAATCCTATTTATGACAGAACTGTTCATATCTTGTAAATTCAAGGTTGTGGCTTCCTTTCCTTAATATTACTGTCTTCTTCAGGGAATGTATAATATTATGTATGAACTATATAGTGTGTTATAAAACCAGAGATAACCATGAAGTAAGCTCTAGTAAATGCATGCTTATCCCACAATACATTTGTTCCCAAGATGTATCGTCTTTGCTGAAACAGGCTAGTATGTTTAGAGCTCTGCAATTTGCTATGGTTTAGTAGTTTTCCATGCAAGTTTGGAAAATAGTTTTGTGCTCTTGGCTTTTTCGTTTGCTTTTTGTGCAAATGACAGGCTGAATGTTATCTAATTGAATCTCTGTGAATCTAATTACGGATTGGACATGAGAAAGGAGAAGAGAGAAAGCATTATAAGCGTAGCAATTATGAAATTAATTTCAGAAATTATCTGACTTGAATTGGAAGGCAGGCAGAGAAGAAGATGTCCATTCAAAGCACACAATAATAATGAAACAGAATGAAGACACCAGATTTTCCATAGTGCTTACGTGTTTACTCTGTAGACCAGTTTAGTTTTCAGTATCTGGAAAATGGTGGAATAGCTGGATTTATCTTTCACAAGTTGGCTTACTGAGAAACTTGTATAGTGGACATGATGGTTAGCTCCACATAACTGAATATTGCAGGAGCCCGAAAAAGCACAGAATTTGTTGGTGGGATTTTTATGAACAATAAATGGAGTTTTTCTAGCCTGTTTAATTTCATCTATGTTTGCTTCATTACAGTGTTGCTAAGAATCACAAACAGAATCTAATGACTGTCGCAAACCTGGGGGTTGTTTTTGGACCAACGTTAATGCGGCCACAAGAAGAAACAGTTGCTGCAATTATGGACATCAAATTCCAAAACATTGTGGTTGAGATCTTAATAGAAAATCATGAAAAGGTAACTTGTCTATGAGTTGTGCATTTTACAATTAAAAAAAAAATGCTTTTACATCTAGTACTTTTTAAATAGCTCTTTTATTTCATTGACCTGCAAGATCAGTTAAGACAGTTCTTATTTATTTATTTATTTATTTATTTATTTATTTATTTATTTATTTATTTAAAGGTTTTATATCCCTCCCTTCACCATGTCTATTAGTAATAGCTCCATTAGTTAGAGCCTTTCTGTCCACATTCTGCCTCTGATAGAAGAGGATTCCAGCTAAGGAAGAGGTAGTAAAATGTTTTGGTTCCTCTAGCCCTGTGTTGGCGAACCTTTTAGAGACCGAGTGCCCAAACTGCCACCCAAAACCCATTTATTTATAACAAAGTGCCAACACTGCAATAAAACCTGAAAACTGAGGTTTTAGTTTAGAAAAAACAACTCAAAGCCAGTCCAAGCAAATAGATATATATCCTTGGCAGTGCACTGAATGGCCATGTGAATGCTCGGATGAGTCATGGCAAATGAGTCGCGGCTCGTGACATCATCGCCTGGTGCCGCTTCTCCTTTATGAGCATGCAGATGGCCCCTATGTGCGCTGTTATCCGATGCTCGGCTGCAGGGGCAATGCTGGGACGACTTGGCTCCCATGCCGACAGAGAGGGCTCTGCGTGCCCACTGTGGCACGTGTGCCATAGGTTCACCTCTAGCCTTTCACCATGAGGATTCCCCAATGACATGCCCCTTTTACATCTTTAACTGCACTTGGAATGAGACTGTTTTTCTTTTGCTTTAGGAAGAAAATAATGCCTTTCTGAAATCACTGACTATTATATTAATGAACAATTTTAACTTAGGCCATATGTGCATGCCCACTGACCAATATACCCAGAGAAAGAGGTCTGTGTCATGGGTGTAATTTGGTATAATGGCTGCTGGTGTCACAAAGGCTCCCCTTGCCCCAAGAACAGAAGTGTTCAAATGACTTTTGTCCAGAGTCTGGATTTCTTTTTCTACAGACCAGTCTGGCAGGCTGGATGATGTCAAGGGAATGCAGCCCTGTCCTCAAAGCACCTCTGCTTCCTTCACATCAGCCAGTCCTGCTTCTCACCAATTTTATTCTTCTCCATGCAGAGAGGAACATGGAGCTTCCTGTCTTTGCATTGCAGAAAAGGACATGCCAGGGCTTTGAGAAGGAGTCCTTCCAAATATGCAGACTGGGATGGCAAATGGTGTATGAAGCCATATCCCTGGTGTTACCTTCTATCACTGACCAATACAACTGCAGAGATTCCTGTTCTCCAGGGCTTGTGAAGGAGGGGTTGATCTGGGCCAGTGAGAAATCTTTGCATGTCAGATTATGTCTGCTGGCCTGAAGTTTTCCATCCATGTCCTAACCAAGGAGGAAATGGTCATACATCCCTATTCGCCATTTGTCATTGGATTCTTACAGGGATGTCTTGCTTTGCACTGTTTTATTCACTTCATGCTGAGATGCCATTATTTTTCCAAATACTCCTTGTATTTGAGAAGCAAGGCCTCCAGTTTCAAATCTGGCATCCTTCCTGGTGTTAAAAAAATGAAGAATCCTTCCACTTTATCTGTGATCAGTGACTTGCCTTTGAAATCCAATTAGGAGAAAAAATGGAAACTTCTTTTTTATACAACATCATTGCTTTTCCCAAACAGCTTTAGAAAATAGTATCTGAAAAATAACTGCTGGACTCTCAGTAAAGTGTGAAACAAAGAAAGACATATGCTTAACAGATCTTCATAGTGACTATACTTTCCTGGCTGGTTGTATATGCTTCATATTTTACGTATCAGTAGTTGGATGACTTTTCATATACTGCATCTGTCAGAAGTCATCACCATTGAAAGCTTTCTACCGTATACTGTTGTGCATTTTGTTTTCACTCTTTTTCCTTTCTGATTCTCTTGATCTTTTAAATAAAAATTATTGATAACTTATCATGGTGCACATTTAGGGTGTGCTTTTGAAACATAAAATACAAAACAAACACTGTAAAATATCACTACTAATATACTAAATTGGCATGGATTTCATTACAGAGAAAACTAAAAGGGAAGGAAATGGTAGAGCTGGTGGGATATAATTTTAAAATCTCCTACAAGAGTTTTGTTTCTATTTTATAGCATTTTTATTTGTTCTGCTTTAAATTAATAATCAGACTTACTCATGGGAAAGAAGAACTATAATCCATATATGCACCCTTAAGTGGTTTTCCAAAGTGTTAAAACAGTGACTCATACTGGAGTACATTCAGTAGAAGAATGCAGTTGATTTTGAACTGTTTTGAACTGGCATTGAACTCGCATTTCCTTTGGTTAAGTAAAAGGCCACTTCTGTCTAAAGCTTTAGTCATTTTGGCAGGAAAGGGAAGTGTGCATTGAATCCTTCCAGGGTGTGTTTTTCTATCCATTAATTTCATTGCACTGGCCAATAAACCATGTTCTTCGTTGTGGCCTCTGTGCATCACACATATGGGTGCTGTGCCTGTGCAGTGCCTTAGGCCAGAAGATTGAAAGCTAACAGTTTTGGTGGGAAACTCCGCTCCCCTCCCCCTCAGTAGTATATATGGAGCAGAGTGTCCGCCATTTTCCCAGTCTTTGCAACCGCCATTCGTTGTGCCTTGTGCCGCTTTCACTTTCACTTAGATTGTTTCTCGCCCGTTTTTTCCTTGTTACTGTTTTCTTGTTCTCTTTTCCAAGTTTATATATCCTTACTATAGTTCTTTGGCTATTATTCTCGTTTGTCTTTTTATTCTTCTTCTATAAAAAAAAGAAAACCCAAAAATATTATCTATTCTCCCTGCACTATCCTCTCTCTTTCCTTTCTGCAATGGCACAACGGGCGGCATTCTGCAAGTGTCTGGAGTGCGGTTCTAAGATGTCCCCAGTGGACCCGCACGACCTGTGCCTCCTCTGCTTGGGGGAGGGTCACAGGACGGATAAATGCGGCCATTGTCTGGCCTTCACTAAGCAGGCCAGAAAAAACAGAGAGAACCGCTTGCGAAGGCTACTATAGGACCAGGCTCTCATGCAGTCAGACCAACTGGTTGCGAGGTCTGCTTCTACTCAGGCTGCCTCTACTCGCCATCCAGCTTCGACTGTGCCACCACAACGCCCTGCTTCTTCCTCTGCTGCTCCGTCCTCACGCCCTTCAGATGAAGGCGCATTAACCATGGGAGACCAGCCTGCTTCCCCGCCCAAAAAGCGGGAAAAAAGGAAGCACACCGGCTCGGAGAAACCATCTGCACATAAAAAGGCCAAGAAAGATAAGGCCGAGAAGCTGGCACGCAGATCTAAAAAGCCTGAGCATGCTCAACATCGCGAATCGGGCTTGTCAGCTCCCTCGGTCCCGACCGTTGTTGCGGTACCGACACCATCGGGCCCGACGCTTCAGGTGGCCATGAGGGTTACCCCTCCAGGGTCCCCTCACCATGTTGTCAGAGTGGAAAGCGAGCCACCTCAACAAACTCAGGCCTTTGCAACCTTCGATCTCAGATGGAGAGATCCGCGACTCCCTGCTTAGAGCTAGGTCCCCTGCGCCTATGCCACCAGCACAGTTGGATGCGGAGACGGAGATGTCTCCTCCTAGATACCGAAGCCACTCATCTGAGAGGCGCTCTGATGAATGGGACCATCCCTGCTACTGCTATTATTCGGGATGGGGAGATTACCGGTCGTTTGGTTTCTACCCGGGCCCTCGGGACCATCCTTCTTCGCTGGCTCCTCTGGATCGTCCTTCTTCATCAGCTCCAAGGGACGCACTACCAGCACCGGGTCATAGGGAGAGCAGTCGATCCATGTCTCCAGGAGACTCTTCCTCCAGCGCTCCTGCACCTTATGGAATGGACTCGGATGAGTCTGAAGTTGATTCCACCTTCCCAGATGTGGTTGTTACATCTCAGGGCCCTGGATCACCAGAAGAGCTACACATCTCCTTTGCGGAGTTAATGTCTAGACTGGTTCGGTTGCTGGAGATTGAGGCTCAACAACAGCCCTGTCCCAGCATCGACAGATTCTGTGATGTGGTCCGAGGTGAACAATCGACTTCTGTTGCTCTGGCACTTATTACAACTTTGCGTCAAGTGATGACCCAGCCATGGGATCTGCCCGCTCATCCTCGACCGACATCGAAGAGATACGAAGCCATGTACTGGGTTCGGGAGGAAGACATCCCATTCCTCCTACAATATCCTAAACTGAACTCGGTCATGGTGGAGTCTTTGCAGGGCTCAGTCAAGGGGTCACATGGCTCCCTGCGACAAGGAAGGGAGGAGGATCGACTCCCTCGCACGCCGAGTCTATGCGGCCTCTGGGCTCAGTCTGCGAATATCCAACTATGAGGCGACATTGGCGTGCTACCAATATTTCATCATGCAGCGCCTGGATAACATCATTTCGGCTCTCCCAGACAATCAAGGCAACCTAGCAAAGGTCTTTGTAAAAGAAGCCATGCAGGTTGCAATTCAGCAACTCTCAACGGCTAGGCATCACGTCGATACTGACTCCAGGGCTCTGGTCGGTGCCATCTCCCTCCGGCGACACGCTTGGTTGCAAAGTTGCAACTTCCCGGAGGAGATGAAGAGGAGAATCGAAGAGATGCCTTTTGATGGGTCTGGACTTTGCAACTCCAAGACAGACCACAAGTTGAAGTTGATACACGAGTCCAGGATGACTTCTCCGCATATCTCACAACGAATTTCTTCATCTTCCATCTGTCCCATACTTAATAACACAGCAGGAAGGGACAGTCTGCCACCTGGACTTGGCATCGCTCAACCTTACGGCCTGGTGGATTCTATGAGCGTCAATACTGATTCGATACCAACAGCGTCGAACTTCTCTGGGGGTACTACCCATGGGTCCGATACTCGAATTACTGCTTCTGATCCTTTGGCTCTTACTACTTTGTTGGGGTCAACGGATTTCCTGTTGGGATTGACAGTTCTCCATTCGGAAATTCAGAAGATTCTTGAATCTGCGTT